CATCAAGCTGAAGTCAAAGTGACTGAAGGAGTTGATGATGGTGAAATGGAACCAGGTATATATATATTGAATCAGAGCATGAAGCCATTGGATACACTCCAGCAAAGTTCATGTTTGGTCGGGAACTTCGGTTGCCGGTGGATCTGTTAACAGGACGCCCACCTTATGAAGAGTTGCCTGAGAATGTGTCAGAGTTTGTGAAAGTGTTATCGGAAAGGATGGATGATATTCACCATCAAGTGCGTTCAAACTTGAAAACGTCTGCTGATTCGATGAAGCTATCTTATGATAAGAGATCTACTGAAGTCAGCTTTGTACCAGGAGACAAGGTGTGGTTGTATAATCCTAGGAACTCCAAAGGAAAGTCTCCTAAGTTGTCTTCTCCATGGGAAGGCCCATATGACATAAGGGATAATCTCTCAGATGTGACTTTCCGGATAAAATGTGGTTGGCGAGGTAAGCCAAAGGTGGTGCATGCCAACAGGCTTTGGTGTTATCACGGTCCAGGACATTCCAGTTGGAACGAAGTGAACAATGAAACAAATGACGCTGCTGAAGATGTGTCACCTGAAAAAGCCACTGTCGAAGAAGAAACTCTACCCGGTTTTGAGAAGGGAAACAGTGAAGCCCTTTATGAAGTTACTACCACTGATGTGACTGTTACCGATAATAGGAGAATTCCCGATGGAGCAGGTGAACCCCACATGAAGCAGAAGCCAACGAGACGGAGACCAGTACGCAAGAATATACGTCCCGTAAAATTAAAAGACTTTGTTGAATTTTAATTTTGTGTTTGTAAATTCTGTACATCTAATTAAGTTAGAGTTAATTGTTTATTGGTTTAATGTAAGTGGCTATTGTTCGGGACGAACAATACTAAGGAAGGGGCAGTGTTACGACAGCGGAGGTCACGTGACGCTAGTAACACATCATATTCTCGAAGGTTCGTGAAGTCTCGAGCGTTTACTAGATATGCGGTATTCTTGTGTATATAAAACCGGTAAGAAGTGACGGCAACAATGTAATGTAACTGAACTGCAGACAGAGAGAGACTGACGATTGAGTCGAGCACGTGAGTCGTTCATTGTGAATTATAGCGTTTGTTATAGCGTGACTGTGGAAATTAAGTGTATTGCAAAGTTGTATTCAGAAAGAATAACCAGTTTTATTTAAGAAAGGACTTGTATCGGTAAAGTTTCCTCGGAAAGAATTTTTACGGAAAATTAACTAATGACCAGAGACGTAACACTATGATAAATAGAGTACTTCGTTAAGTTGATCTCTCGAAGTTCATGCTATGATAAATACGGTACTTCGTCAAGTTGAATAACTAATGAGAACAAAGAAGAAGAATAGTCAACTATTCGAAAGCGCTCGAGTTTTGGGTCTTATTTTAAGTCTATTACACTTTATCTGTGATCCTTTGTGCTTCCTTCTGGTATCCTCTATATTCCTAGCAATCCTCCACTAAGTTCCAAACCTGATGTCTCTGAACCTTCACGTCTCATAGAAAAATCTTCCACTCTCCTCAAACTAAACCTTTCCTCCATTACAACTTCAGCGGTGAGTCCATGAACTTTCAACGCTAAAATCAAGGGAAGTTATTTCCCACAGTGGACACAGCAGATAGCCCAATGTGTCTTTGCTATAAAAATGCGCAAACAAGCAAAATCCACAGTAATGCCATTTCACTTTCCTATTTCCCTCTAGCGGTAATAAAGATAAATACACAGTAGCAAAGAGCCCTCTACAATTTTTTATAATACTAGCCTCGGTCCAAGATAATCTGGTGTTGCTATTACGATCACAATTTCTTTCATTGGGTTGGAAGTTAAACTGTTAATAATATAGATACATTTGTTTAAATATTATTTCTGTAGCAATTTAGTATATACATGGTAAAAATCAAGTTATCTATAAATGTTGTCCCCCCTCTTCCAACTTAATTTGTCCACTAAAGCTTAACATCAGAGGTGTGTAAAAAAAACAAAAAACAGATGTAACTTTTGTCTCCTCTGCATTGAAGCGAAAGTTTCTCAGGCAATGACTTGTGAGAAACAAAAGATAGATTTGAAATGTTATTTTGATACACCTCTGATTTTGAGCCGCAATGGACAAATTGAGAGAAATGTGGAAAAACATCCGCAGTCAACTTGTTCTTTATAGAAATATTTAGACCTATTTATAGACATTTTCAGTTCGCCGGCTTTTAGCGCTTAAAACGTCATTTTTAAAGTATTATATAAATGGCGTTTCGTAGAGTCTTTTATTTCACGTATGCTCTGTGAAGGTCATTCTTCTGATTGTAACATTTTATACACTTTTTTTCTTCGTTCTGGAGTTTACCCAGATTCCTGGAAAAGTTAATAACTCATACACAATCTTCCTCCAACAAGTCTTGTTATTATCGTCCTGTCAGTGTCCTCAATGCAATCTTCGAACACATTTTAGTCCTTGCTGAGTGGACGATATCTGTATGTTGCAGAATACAGCTTTCTTGTAAAATCTAAATCTAAGGAAATGTTTATTCTTACTTCTATCTGGTTTCTGATTGTAACTAGTTTGCGGAGATTTATCTTCAGAGACGGAAATATGAAGATCTAGTTAACAACGAGGGTCTCTTGTTTGCGCAAGTGGGCACGCTACGTTTTCTTGTTCAGTTATAATGAACATTGTGTTCGTCATATCAAATTTGTCCAGTATTTATATTTTTAAAACAGAAAATTCATCAAGTTTTCAAATTCAAATCGCCTCATAATTTCTTGGTCGATCTTACTATTATTTGTGAATCTTATATTCGCGCATAAATCAGTTTTACCTGAAATACCACACCTCTAGTCCATCAGTGCGAAATTAGGAATAGCTAGTGCAGATAACTCTTGTGTAGCTTTGAGTGAATATCCAAAACAAATTAATCACGGTGAAGCATTTTTTGTAGACCACTATAATTAAAATACAATTATTACGTTTGTGGTCATTCATCTAATATGGGATTAAAATTAATTTATTTCTGATTTTTATATTTTTGTATTGCGAAGTATGAATAAAATTCATAAAAACTAACTATTTTTCTATATAAACTTTAGCTATAATTATTTATTACTATTTGTTTATTTCTTAACTGCACTGCTACTTTAATACGTTCCCTAGTGACGACTTATTATATGAATATATATATATACTGTGACCATGACGACAGATGATGGAAGACTACGTAAATTTGCGTTATGCTCGGGAATTGCAGCTGGTATTGCTTATTTAGGGTATTCATTTATTAGGTCAGCACTCTGTGAAATTGGCTGGAGGTCTGAACAAACGAAAAGTGAGCAAACTGTAATAAATTTGAACTCGTAAAACTAAAGATTAGATGTTATTCATCATTGATATCAGGGGTATGTTTGCTGCTATAAGAGCTGTACAGCGTGCTATGAAAGTTGAATGTACATGTTAGCCGCTGGCGGATTTAAGTTGAATTTAAAATTTTAAGATCACTTAACAAAGATATCAAGAAAAAAACAGTAATAATATAGTGTGATATAACATGTGTACAAAATAACGTTAAAATAAAAGATTCGTGAATTTATAATTATGATCACAACTTTTATTTGTAACAAGGAGAATGTTTTATTGATAATACTGTAACTGTTAATGTAATTTTTATGTAGCTCATCAAAAATTTGGAAAAAATATTAAATTAAAGCTGCCGTAATCTAAAGTAAGTATAAGATTAAAAAGTGTGTCATGTTAATGAAGTTTTCTCATTCGTTTCAAATTATGTTTAGAAACAATGGAATTGATAAATTGTACTCAGTTGTTAATTCTTCTAGTATTACTAGCAAATGACTTAAAAACCATATTTCGTATATAAATAAACACATTAAAAATAGCAATCAACAACCATCTGAAATTTGGGTAAAGCTCACTTCAAAGCAGTGGCATAGCTAAAAGATATTTTCCAGAGGGAGGGTAAAAACAGTTGAAATTTAAAAATACTTGGTACATAAAATATGTATCATTAAACTTCTCTAAACAACAATCATGCACACTAACAACACATTTTCAGTTGATCTAACCAGTGTTGTGAATTGAGTACAATAATTTAATCAAGATAGTCCATTCAGCAGTTTTTGTTGTTGTTGTTGCAAATGAAATTTGGTCTTCTTGTTTGCTAATTTTTGTGTAGATTTCTCCCTGATAGATTCCTTAACTGGCCAAAAGGTCATTCATTTTCTTTGTTCACTAACACCTAGATGTATATAATGCTTTTTAGTACAAACATTTTATTAGTATTTACAAATGTTTTCTTGTTTTTTATTCACTCGTGTATAATAATCTCCAACCACCAATTAAAACTCCTTTTACTATATAATGATTAGTATCAAAATATAGGGTTATTAAAATTATTTTTAGCATACATATATATCGTTTGTGCTTATGGTTTGTTTTTTAATAACTTTATGCTTTCTCTCTATTATTAATAAAAATGTAGTGTGTGCAACTACAACCGTCAAGGGACAAGATGGATCAGTAAATTTCTTAAATATTCTACATAATAATATCTTGAAGTGTATGTAATCTCACTTCTAACCATTAGTTAATTTTTATGTATTTTTTTCATTAAATTAGTGAATAATTCACATTGTTACTAAGTAATGAAAAACTTTTAAATGCACAGTATACTCTAGAATTTCAATAAAGTGTTTTTAAAAAATTCACATAGGTTCACTATAAAATCTTTTACTAGGCCCGACTCGTAAGTCTACTTTGAAGAGTGAGGGTTGTCAGACAGATCTCACTCTTCCACTAACTTCACAGCCAGTTCCACTGTCAGGAACTTCAGTAAGAGACAGAATTAAAGAGTTGAACCTCAGAGCTCGGGAATTTAAGGAAGCAGGCTTTAACTTTTCTGTAAAGAATAAAGCAAAAAGTCTCCAGAATACTCCATGGAGTTCTCCAAGAATTCAGAGCCCTTCAGATGGAAAGCAAGCCATGAGTCGTTCTGTGGACAGTCTCAGTTCTTCACTAGATGGCAGATCTCCTCGCCACCAAGGAAAGAGCATACCAAAGACAGGAATTGCAAGAGAGTTGTCTTCTGGCTTTCTTCAAGATAATGAGGAAACTTTACTGGTTGAACAAAATGGTACTCATAATCCACCACTGAGAGAACCTGAAGAAGTGCTTCGTAAACAGTTAGAAAGTCTCTACAGTAAAGCTAGAATTATGACTCTCTACGAAGCAAAAAGTTTAGTAACACTGCTATATTCTGATGATGACGAAGTCCTCGTAAAGGTGCTGACAACAATATCTAACTGTGCAGCTTTCACTGTGAATCAGGTAAGCTTATTATCATACTCAGAAATAAGTGTGGAATACATGTGGTTTAAGCAACAGTATTTGAAGAAAATCTGACGTTTGAGATCTGTTCTCAGAAACAGCATACTGAAGAATTTAGCATTCTTTAACTAGATAGTGAATAGGTAAACCTATATATGTGTGTGTGTATTAATATTTATATATTAATGAGATACATTATGTGTGTTCTTACTGAGTAGAGTTTCCTTTATGTCCACTTGGAACTTTTTAACATTTTAGAAGATAATGTTTTGAACTTTATTTTCTGAGCACTGTAATCAGTATATTTCGTAAAGTATTCCAGTCTTTAATCTATTGCAAGACTTAGTGTGAGGTGTTATTCGTTAATTTGGCCATCACAACTATAACATCCATATCTTATATTCATTTTCCTCTGTCATTTAGTTGAGATATTCCCTAAGTCCCTTATACATGATGCCAGCTCCATGGGGTTAGTTATTTTAACACTGATGTCATAGTATCACAAACTGACTGATGCTGGAAGGTGCTGACGTTTTGTTCACAGTAGCTTTATCCATGTTAGTTGTTGTATGTAATAAAATGTTGCTATGACTGTGTGTAAATGATTTGATCACATGTTTAGTCAGTAGCCAATAATTATTCCACATTTTCTGGAATCTAATAAAAGTGTGTTCAAAATTAAAATAGAACTGAAGATTGTATAAGCCAGACACTTGAGAATGTGTAGTTTTAGATTTGATATTGTTTGAAGCTTTGTTAATTTATAAATGTTAGTTAAAATTAATCAGGAGTTTCTGAGTTCTGTATCAGATTTATGATAGTTTACAAAATTATTTTTTCCCTAACGTTTTGTGCAAAGGTTATATTGCTGACTTAGAAATTTAAATTTCAGTTATGTCATCCATAAAAGTCTGGTCTTAGCATTTTTAAACTGTGAGGATATTCTGTTCAACTTGTGAAAGTTCTAATAAGTAATTATTTGTGTGTTTTTTTAGGAATTTTGATATTAAGTAAGTATGAATTATTGGCCCTTGTGTAATTTTAAAATAAAATAAATAATAAGAATACATATATTTACTGTACACAGTTAATAGATATTTATTGAAAGTATGAACAGTCTCCATTTAAAAGAAAACACTACTTATTATTTCAAACGTGTATACATCATCTTTGGAGGTCTGAAGATGATGTAAAAATTGTATTCAGCAAACTGTTATTAATAAGAGTGGTCAGTAAAACTTGGTTACCTAACAACTAGAAAATCACTTTAACACTCAAATTACCAGTCTGTTTTAACCCTAAACTTATAAATATGTCTTCACACCATTCAGTAATGGAGTATTGTATCATATATTTCTGCCTGTTGTCATCATCCAATATAAAGAACTGATCTAATAAGCTGAGTGAAACCACTTATTTTCTACATAAAATGCACAGGAGTTCCCTGCAGTAATTAGTGGGATTAATTACTACATTGACAATATTTTTGCTTATATTTGTTTGGGTGACACATTTTATTAGGGACCCTGTAACTAACATGGTCATGGAACCTCAAGGAGTTTGGTGCATAAATAGTTTTAGAAAATTATTTTAAAACAGGTGGGTCCAAAGGAATTACATTGGTAGTTCTAGAATTAACAAGATAAAAGGCTAGGGTTAAGTAGAAGAAGGTATAAACTGATATATTTATAATTCTAGGGTTAACCAGAAGAGAATATCAATTGAAACCCTGGTAATTATAGGGTTAACCAGAAGAAGGTATAAACTGAAATATTTATAATTCTAGGGTTAACCAGAAGAGAATATCAGTTGAAACCCTGGTAATTATAGGGTTAACCAGAAGAAGGTATAAACTGAAATATTTATAATTCTAGGGTTAACCAGAAGAGAATATCAGTTGAAACCCTGGTAATTATAGGGTTAACCAGAAGAAGGTATAAACTGATATATTTATAATTCTAGGGTTAACCAGAAGAAGGTATAAACTGAAATATTTATAATTCTAGGGTTAACCAGAAGAGTATATCAGCTGAAACCCTGGTAATTCTAGGGTTAACCAGAAGAAGATATAAAGTGAAAAATTCTGAGGTTGCAGTTATTTTTGACACTAATTAACCAACTGATTTTGAGTTTGCTTAATTTGCATTATTATCAATTCTATTGTACCTTCTTAATGCTTAATATTAAGTAAGATTAAATATTTAGTCTTTATAAAATTTATGATATTTGACATTGTTCTCGAGTTAAGAATTATTTAGTTTTTTAATAGGGATAAAGAATAAGATAATTTTTATTGGATTCAGACTAGGCTATCTGACTCAAAAATGAAATGTTTACATTAATGTATTTGCAGTTTTTGACTGTACCATAGCTACAATTGTCCTATATCAATTGTAAAGTTAACAGAAAATCTGTAGTTATGAAAGGAAAGAAACCACAATGACACATGTAAAACTGTAAAACTTGTATTACATGATAAAAGCCATGTAATTACTTACATTACAATACTTGAACTAACTAGAAAACATACACTTGATTACTGTAAAAACTTGTATTACATGATAAAAGTCATGTAATTACTTACATTATAATATTGAAGTAACTAGAAAACATACACTTGATTACTGTAAAAACTTGTATTACACGATAAATTCATGTAATTACTTACATTACAATACTTGAACTAACAAGAAAACATACACTTGATTACTGTAAAAACTTGTATTACATGATAAAAGTCAGGTAATTACTTACACTACAATACTTGAACTAACGAGAAAACATACACTTGATTACTGTAAAACTTGTGTTACATGATAAATTCATGTAATTACTTACATTATAATATTTAAGTAACAAGAAAACATACACTTGATTACTGTAAAACATGAATGATAAAAATCATGTAATTACTTACATTATAATATTTAAGTAACAAGAAAATATACACTTGATTACTGTAAAACATGAATGATAAAAATCATGTAATTACTTACATTATAATATTTCAAGTAAAGTCAATGTTTTCTTTTTATGTAAACAAGTTCTTAAAAATGTATTTTAAATGATATAAGCATATTTAGTGTAGTATTCTAAAGATTCTCTCAGTGTTTTGGGAATTAGTTAAAATTCCTAACACTCACCTCTTCACTGCAGTCAAAAGTTTGTTTGTTAGTGTAGTTTATTTTAATTCCTCCATTATTTGCATTGTATGTCAATGTGTATTAAAAATGATAACAATAAGTATTATAAACTCTTGACATGTAGAGCCACGGACATTGATATCTTTTATGTTTTAGGATCACTTTGCAGATGCTGGTTGTCTTCTGATACTCAGGGATTTAATAGTTTCTCCAGCACCTTCAGTCCAAGTATCCAGTGTACAAGCAATATCTAATTTAGCTGTTAATTCACAAAACCAGGCCCTTCTTCAGGTATTTGTACAGAACGTTTTGTGTACTATATAAATAGAGATGTATATTACTTCAGTCATTCTAATCTGTACTAGAATTAATTTGGTTATTAAAGACATAGTGAAAACTAACAAACATTTTTATTTTCATACAGATTATAATATCAGTAATAACATGGACTTTTCCTATTTTCAAACAAAAAGCATTGGACCCACCACACATATTATCTCTGTATTGGACATTATACAGTTTTTGGTATTACCTACTACACGTATTATCTCTGTATTGGACATTATACAGTTTTTGGTATTACCTACCACAGATATTATCTCTGTATTGGACGTTACACAGTTTTTGGTATTACCTACCACAGATATTGTCTCTGTATTGGATGTTATACAGTTTTTGGTATTACCTACCACACATATTATCTCTGTATTGGACGTTATACAGTTTTTGGTATTACCTACCACAGATATTATCTCTGTATTGGATGTTATACAGTTTTTGGTATTACCTACCACACGTATTATCTCTGTATTGGATGTTATACAGTTTTTGGTATTACCTACCACAGATATTATCTCTGTATTGGACGTTATACAGTGTTTGGTATTACCTACCACAGATATTATCTCTGTATTGGACGTTATACAGTGTTTGGTATTACCTACC